AAGTTGGTTCCGTTTTATTCAGTCTGACAATCTCGAACTGTAGGAAAAAAAAATTTCACAATGATAAAATCAAGGGTGGATTTTCAAAACAAAAATCAGAAGAAATTTTCATCTGAGTCTCTCAATTTTGAAAAATTCTTGCATAGCATCCTTGGTCGGGTTAAAAGGTCATTTTTACCCTTCCATCGTTGAGTTCTCCCTTCATCGTTGTCTTGTGTCACTTTCATCATTATACTTGTGCCCTTGTTGAACTCTAATAGTCGTTTTCTCTCCCTTTTGTCCGAGGAAACAAAGGGCGAGTTCGATGGTTTAAGGTTACAGATGGTGGCAACGAGGGTTGTGGGCAAAGGGAGGGACGAGTTTGTTGGTGGGGTGAGGGTTGCAGGCGATGAGCACTCACATAAGAGTTATGAGCGGCATTAACGAAAGTTGTGGGCGATAGGCTTTCACATGTGATGAGAGTGGGTCTTTGTGTGAGGGCTATGAGCAGGAATTTCTCAAGCAAGGGTTGCCAAAGATAATGGTGAACCCTCACATAAGGGCTATGAACGATTGTTCAGAAATAATCGATGGGGGCAAAAGTGTAGCTAGACAATAGCCCAGAGTTGGATGGAGGATGATCGTCAAGAAAAAGATATATATTTTTCAAAACTTTTCACCATAAAATCAATTGATATAAATAATTAAATGATAAAAAAAGTGATGTAATAGTTTTTCCTTTGCTTCCTTGATTTAAAAGGAAAAAAAAAAACATAGAGTACCTTCATCCACGGTTCAGAGTGTATGCATTAAAAAAAAGAATGTTTGATCCAGAAAGCCCGCTTACGAGGGAACGATACCATTCTACCGCTACTACTGGAGTGCCGGACAACCAAGAAGAACATCACAGCAATTTACAAACAAAACATGTACAAACGACGTGCGTCCATCAGCATCGCTGTCGCCCATACCACCATTATTTGTCGCTCGATGAGGATTTCTAACAGGCCTTTGTAATTTTGTACCTGCTCAAGGATTAGAATCCACCATATTAAATTGATACGATCAAGTTCTTATTTTGTTACTCATACTTCTTCATTCTTCAATTTAATACAAACAATACCTCTCGATAAAAAACCACTTGTGATATGTCCACCCCATGACATCTCCACAACCAGCACAGAATATTTGCGATACGTTCTCCGTCTCCGTCGTCTTCATCCCTGACTCATTCTCCTGCGTAATGTTCACACTGCCAATCATAATAACTAATCAACATTAAATCAATGTAGGATATGTATTTTTTGGATTTTTAAAATTATGTAAGATAAAAAAAAATCTTTGGTGAAGAAAAAATATCTTCAAGATTAGAGTTTGATTCATTTAAAAAATTCTCAATATATCCTTAGGTCTATCTCAAATGTATCTGTAATAGATTACGAGAGGGTAAAAAATTATATATGAAAAATTCTTCGTTACTTACCTGAGAGGATATATAAAAGTCTTACGCTTAAGTTAGATTAATTATTTATAATTGATAGATGAATAATTTAATTTTCTCAATGAATATAGATAAAAGGTCTGATGCTACATAAAATATTCTAATATATTCTTAAATTATTGATATGTAAGATAGTATGTTTTGTCTTGACAAAGTTTAAATTGAGTATCTCAACAACTCTTCATGTTAAGTCATCTCTTGGTTGGTGTACAAGTTGTAGATCAAGAATACGAGGAATTCAATGCTCATATCGAATTACTCTTATATGTATATTAAATATTTATGTGTACGTATACTAAGCTTGGCCAATGTTTTAAGTTTTTGGGTGATATTAGTTAGTATCTGATCAAATAAAAACCCTGATAACTTTGACTCGGACTTATAAATATTCGATTTCTCTAGGTATTATATTGAAGTCATTTGTGGTTTGTCATCCATGCAATAATAGGGATCTAAGAGTATGCTGATCAGACTGAAAGTGTATAAAATACATACCCTTTTAGACTCTTTTGACCAGATAAATATATAGGTAAAAGTTAATAAATCTAAAAGAATTTGAGTCAAATTCAACAGTGAAATAATAGATCAAAGTATGACAATAGAGAGAGAAATTGCTTCCAGAGGCAAATTAAATCTGAGTGTACAGTTCATATAGTCATTTGAGCAAAGAACAGTAAGCTACTTACGCTTTACTGAAGGCATATACCTTCCCTTTCCTGCCCTCGAAAGTCTGTACATAATCAAATAAAATTTGGTGAATATTTACATATTATGTGAATATATATATATATATATATATATATATAATATCATAGATATTGGGGATAATTATATATTATCTTCTGTAATTAATTATTTTACTTAAGTATATTTTTAATTCTATAAAATTATCTTTTTAACCCTATATAGGGATCTTAATGTTTCAAATACTTTTGTAAGTATAGATATTCAAATGTAATTTTTAAAAGTGTAGGATTGAAATCCTAAAGGACGCTAATTAGAATGGGTAATATATAATTAGAACTGTAATATAACTTATTCAATGTTATTTTCAATTATAAATCAGAAAAAAAACAACTTAGAGTTTGCCATGACATTTTTTTCATAAAAGAACAATTTAAAATTTTGAAATATACGGAACAACTTACACAACATTTTGAGAGGAATCAAGCTTTTTGTTTAGGAATTTAAATAGGAACCGATGTCCTTAGTAAATTATGATCTATTGTTATAAATATCTCATGTATCTCTACATCTTGATAGTAATAAGATACGTAGAATTATTTAAATATTTCTATATAATTTTCTACTCGGTCTAGAGAGATAAGAGAAAATATATGAATATTCTTTTGAGTTTACGTGAGAGAATGTATAAAGAGATTTATGATTAAGTTAAGGTCGACTCAAGGATTTTGAAAATCATATTAATCTTATTATTTTTTGTTTGTCGTTTCTTTTTTTTTTTTTGAAAGATCTTTTCAAATTATGAACAAATCTCACAATTGTTTTGGTCACAATAAACAAATTTTACCTTGGTATTCACAATCACAATTAGGTTTTACCTACATGAATGACTTAAGGTTGTGAAAGGGACACAAGTTTTGGTGTAGCAACTCAGGTAGAATCTTCTTCTAGATTATAGCCTAAAGAATCTCTAGAACATAAAAACACAACATCAACATCACCATTACTAGAGCTATGGAGCGAAGATTCGTGAAGCAACTTAGGTAGATGTTTCTTCTGAACTATAGCTTAAAAGAAGCTTTAGATCACAACATCATGATCTCATTGTATTAGTAACAATGGCCAGAGAATAATAAATGTTAAAAGAACATCTTCAACATGATCTTTGGTGGTGCTATGTACGTAGAGAATCAAGGAAAGATTGGTCAAAGATAGAATCGAACCTTAGAGACGATGTCATCGAAGTCTGCCAAGTGGGCCCGACATTGCTTGCAGCAATAGATCTTCCCCTCCAATGTTACAAGAAATAGCCTCCCCATCTTCGCAACCGTTCGTCCGTATCGATGAATCGAGTGAATAAGAAGAGTACTATAAAACACTTGGTGAAGAATTATTCACTATTATAATTTGTGTTACATGACCATGCACTTATATATAAATATCAAAATCGATGATAAAAAGTAAGATCTATTGAAAAGGTTAATGGATGGTACATGGTAATGGTAATGATATGTATGGTATGATCATCGTCAAGATTATGTGTAAAGAAACACCGATTAATATGTAAATAATCCTCCGTAATATTAGGAAAGAAATATTTTTGACATTGGTGATCTCTTTGAATATGATCCGATATTCACGATTTATGTGACCTTCATGGATATGATTTGATATTCATAATATATGTAATATATATAAATTTGATTTAATCTAATCCTTGCAAGATGATATTTCCATGAGAGATACAAACCTTAGACCTTAGTAAGAAGAATCGAGATTTTGATAGAGATTCAATGAGAATGTCAGTGAGCTTGATCTTGAAATATGAGATATACTCATAGAGCTCAACTAAATACTTTGTCTCGGATGAAATGATGGTTAAAAACTACATGCTTCCTACGAGAATAAAAATAATAATATTTATGAATAAATAGGTGTCACCAACGTTATCACAATAAATCATCGATGAACGAATTAACAGAATATGTATTTCAAATTAAAATTATATGATACAATTATCAAAAAATAGGATTACCACTGCAGGATATAATGTTGGTTGTGATTGAAGTGAAATAATCTTTGTTACCAACCTAATCCACATTAGAGAAGAAGGTATGTAAATTGAGATGTCGATCACAGTGAATATGTAATTCATAATGTTGATTAATTTTTGTACTAGTTCAGTGTATCTCTGTAGATTATGTATAAACTAAATAAATTTATTCACAGTGAATGAAATATTAGATCGCGTAAAACATGGATATTATAAGACTCCAATAACACTTGGATATTGAGTTAGGATCTACTAAAAAAAATCCATCATTTAAAGCAAGAGATATTGATGTGGTCATGAGATTTTAGACTTCTTTTGCATCATACATATTTAAAAGTCTCATATGGTGATTTATGAGACACACATGTTTGAAAGGCATATGATCAAAACATTAACAACAATTTGATAACCCGATCACCTCTTCGACCTTTTGCTCCCTTTGACTACATACTAATCTCACCTTCCTCTTCTTATCTTCCCATCACTCAGTAAGGAGACAATTAGTTAAGAGAGCTATTCCTTCGATAATGAATCACGAGGAAGAGTGTTTTTGCACTCATATTTTATGTTAGGTTTGGTAAGTATTTTAAGATTCCTAAAATCAGTGTCCTACAAGAACAATGAATCTATATAAGAGAATGAGTCCTTGTGAATGAGAAAGCCTTGAATGAGCCACAGATTTTATTTGAATTTTAAATTGGAAGATTTTCTGACGCGAAGGTGTTTATAAGGATCATCTAGGCATAAACACAAACAGCTGACGAGCAGAAAATATTGCAACACTTCAAACAATAACAACCCTAACTAGGATGCAATTACCTGTCCATCATGATTGATTGTAGTAAAGGAGGCAGAAATAATGCGTGCCATGAGTATGAGCTGAGCAAGGCACAGCTGCAGTTCATTTGACATGACGCAGAAAAGGATGTCATCCTAATGCAGAGTTGTGCGAGTATTTAGGAACAAAATTGGGATAGTTAAGGTTCAGCCTAATCATAATCACCTCTGAGTTGCAGTCTCATTAAATTATCTGAATCACACCATGTTCATCTGAACCAGTTGAGCCGGCCAACCAAGCTTCTCTAAGTTTTGAAACCGAACTTTAGAGAGTCATGTTTCCTGCAATGTCACCACCGTTTTACCACCTCGGGGTTCCTGCCAAATACATTGGGCATCATGAAGAACTGCAATGAACTCCAGCAAGCTTATGAGCTGTATAATTAATCCTATGTTTCACCTCTGAATGTGGTCGAGAATGAGAAGCCTAGGCCCAGGGGGAATATTGACATCTCTGAGAGCACTGGAACATAAACCGAAAAAAGAAAAAAAAAAAAAAAAGGATTAGAGAAGTTCTCATGCAATACAGGGACTTATTCGGAGAAACTTTAGAATGCGGAGAGGTGGATCATGCTTACCTATCCGTAAGAAGAGGAAGAGTAGCATCACTGAGCAAGCCTTTCTTAAAATTCTTCTCATAATTCTGAAGGCCAAGGTTCGTCAACATTCTTTTTGTGCCGGAGTATAACACATCATCAGCCGGTGGCTGTGAGAATTTCTCACCTATCTGCAATATTAACAGAAAGGAAAAACATTAAGGGGGAAATGTTATGCAAACATGTTAAAAGTACCCAAGTTGTCTTCAGTTTATATGTTACAGCAAGTATCAACATTTACAGTAGCCAATACTGATATTAGAACTAAAAGGATAAGCTAGCATACATCATCTGATGTGGTCATCTACAAGAGGATTATATTTGAATTGCTTCTAGCTTAAACGCCAAATGAGTGCCACTGATATGCAGAAGTTTTGCTTCTGGGTCAAATCTATCCAAACAGGTGGATCTATTTATTTTATCATGGATAGATACTTATTTTATTCAAAATAATTTTTTTAAATATCCACATGAATACGCTCTTTATACGAAATTTAATTCTGATGGAGATATCCTATTTGTATATAGATGATTTAATTTTTACAGATAATAATGTCTCAATGATTAAAGATTTTAAACATTCTATGAAGAAGAAGTTTGAGATGATCGACTTAGGCCTAATGACTTATTTCCTCGATCTCGAAGTTATACAAGACAATATAAAATTTTTTCATCTCACAGGAAAATTATACAAAGAATATTCTAAAGAAGTTTTTCATGAAAAATTATCACCCTATAGATATACCTATAGAATATGATACCAAGTTGACCAAGAAAGATAAAAGTAAATCAATTAATCCAATTTATTATAAAAGTCCAATTGGATGCTTCTTCTAAAGTATGTAGCTTCAAGGCTATAGATAAATATCAACTGACCTGTCGATCCATGTGCACACAGCTTAAGAAATAAATTTGTTTTACAATGTTGACATGATCTTGCTTTAAAAAACAAGTGAAGGTATGTTATGCTAACTACTTCACTGATTGATCGATCCCCTACTTTTGGGAGATTTATTTGTAATGTATTGGGACTCTATTTTTTATACTAACTATGGCTTAAAATACCAATGCAACACATGGGTCAACAAATTTGAACCAAAGGGCCTTTGTGCTTCATATACAGTAGACATTTTATCAACAAATTTGATCTTTTGATTTGTACATGCATGAACTGTAGCTTGCATCATCATGACAGTATGTAACAATAATCTAATATTACATCACCGGTGGCAGATGTTAAATTTCAATTTTGTTTTCGTACCTTGAAAAGGCCCCCTTGAACAAGTGCAAAAAAAAGTCCTGATGTAACTGCATTAAGAGCTTGGTTTGGGCCTCCCATGCCACTAACCAATGAAAACATTGCTCCAGAACCAAAAGCTGCTACCACGCTGCAAGACCAATTATGAATGTACAAATCTGTAAGCAGTACATTTTATACTTTAAGACGTATAATTAGAATAGACATATTCCATCTATAATCAGATGTCATGTAAGCAAATTTACAATACCTGGACGGTGGTAAAAGTCAGAGTGCAGACTAGACCATAAAGCACAAGACCTAAAAGCCAGGATGTTCTTTCTGACTAAGGAAAGCTCCTAAGAGAGCCATCATAAATAATCTAGTTCTATAACTTTAATCAAGCAAGAAAGCGCTAGGACTAGCACAGTCATCACTTTGACCTTCACGAGGTCAGATGACTTTCAGAATCTGATTTCTAAACGACATACGTTTCTTCAAAGTTCACAAGTGGAGAAATCAAAGTACTACAATTACCTATTTCACCTATGAAAAGAAGATAAAGCATATAAGCTAAATATCTCACTGATTCATTTAGGGACCTTTTTGTTAATACCCTCTACCAACATCATGTACTTAACATCAACATTTAACCACATATAATTCACTATTTTCTTGCTTTCTCACAGATTGGATAATTTCCAAATTTGTATGAAAAACACTGCTATAATTTTGTTGGACTTATACACCTTACTTGTGGCTGTTAATGAAGGTCAAGTCAACCATGTCATGTTGTGGCTGAGATCAATAATAGAGTTTATGCTAAGCATAGTAGCCATAACACTTGATAACTTCAGTGGTATCAGTGATGGGACATCAATGTCATATATCATAGGCATTAGTCTCTTAACTTCAAATTAATTTTATGAATGTCATCAATCTTTTATATCAAAAAAGCATCCTTACCTTACTTGTGGCAGCTTATGCAGGTCAAGTCAACCATGTAATGTTGTGGCTGAGATCAATAGTAGAGTTTATGCTAAACCTAGTAGCCATAACGCTTGATTACTTCCATGGTAACGGTGAAGGGACATCAAGGTCATATATCATAGATATCAGTGTCTCTTAATTTAAAATTAATTTTATGAATTAATATCTTTTATATCAAAAAAAGCATCCTCACACTCATCTGATAGAATTTATGTAAGACCTTAAAAGCCGATTGATAAGCTATGTATTGCACACTACATCTATGAGGATAAGGAATTTTTGAAGATTCAAAAGCTTCTTAGATGAGATCAAGTTTGCTTCATTTACTCATAAGTTTCTGACCCTCATTTTCCTTTTTGTTTTCTTCTTTCCATCAACTTTATTATTTTCCATTTACTCAAACCCCCTCCTAGATTGTGCCCCTAACTCTTGCTGCCTATTTTTATTCATTCCCCTCTAATTTTATGGAATCTTTCCTCTCCTACTCATTTCCTTGGCCATTATCTTTTTCCCCATTTCATCTCTCATTTGCTAAACTCTTCAAACTTCATGCTCTTTATTTTTTTTTCCTTTCGGCTCTGATACCTGTTTGTCTATCAATACTCACCCAAATTACAAGGATTTCACAATAATGAAGCATTTGCTTCCAAAATTTGTCGAACACTTCACCAATAATGCACTCTGTATCAATTAATGTTCTCATCAAAATAAACTTTTTGATAAGAAAGAAGAAAAGTTGCACAAGACCATTGCTACTCAACAAATGCTGCTTCTTTCAACTGTTCATTTTATTATAGTGGTGCTTTCAAGATTATGCATCCATGCATAGCTGTAATATCTGTAATCATCACTCATATTTTACTAACAAACCTCTTTGATCCACAAGTAGTTCTTTGTGTGCCCCTAATCGAAGAAACATGAGGCCCGGAAGAAAAAAGCAACAGATAAGACCTTATTTTTCATCCAACCACGTTTGAGTAATTTCAGAGACTTAAAACACTATGAACTTAAAAGTTGATCGACCAAAAAGCATGAAAAGGTGCCAGTGAACTCACCTACTTTGCATATCCTCCACCCCTCTTATTCTTCTCATCACGCAAGAAATGCCTGCATTAGTTCCTGTCATGACTGCAAAATTACGAGCTTGCACCAAGGGGCCACCTGCAAACGCCTGCAGTTCATGCCACAGTCCTGTTATTGACAACATCTGTAGGTATCTATATGGCATGGGTGTGACTAAGCAACAATGATAATGTGCCAGGATGGAAAGGGTTAAGAATCAGCTTAAGTAAAATCTAAGACAGTGCAGAAATAGAAACCCTAAATACTGCGAAATGAACACGGCTAAAATTGAGCACAATATCAAGTTCCAACCATGACACAACAGATCAATGTGAAGTACCTAAAACCTCGATAAGGAAAAGTATATACGATTACCCATTACAAGAACTCCCAACAAGTATATATCTTGACAAGAGGAAATCACACTAGTGTGAAGCATACTGATTTCGCAGATCTTTTAGCTAGAAATCCAGAGGGGTGTCATTACTATCCGAGAGATCAGTAGATGAGACCATAAATTCGCATCACATCCGTAATGTCTACGATGGAAGGGGAAACGTAGAACTAAGAGCAACCTGCGCTTGCTTGAGGGAGGCCATGGCTTCGGGGTTGAGGCCGGGGGCGTTGGAAGGTGGTGTGGGGATGGCCGAGGAGGCGTCGGAAGTGAGAGATCCCATAAGGGCGCCGATGAAGGCGCCCTGGGCGGCGCTGGTGGCGGTGACGATGGCCGCCTCCATGGCGGTGGGCTGCTTCGCCAGCCAGGCCCGGAACCCGCTTTCCAGCTCCTTGACTCGCGCCTGCAGCTGCGCAACGGGGTTCGCCGGAGGAGGGCTCGGTGGAGCCAGCACCGCCGCCGTGCCCTGTTTCCCGTCCATGGGCCGTGCGAACGACCGCCTCTCTATCCCTTGCTCTGTTCCCCTCTTGCCTTCTCTATCTCGGAGATGAACCGCGGATAAGACCATTCTATCTGTCGATAGAAAGATGGTACGTATATATGGCGACGAGTGGCGTAACAGATTCATGACCGTTTCCCTTCGTGATGCGATGGGTTGGTTTCATGAAGTACATTAAATGAGCGCTGTATTCGGCTTAATCTACATTACTTTATGTTATGTCCCATTAATTATGATCGTAATTGGATCGAATTTATCACGTCTACGGACGTGACTGCTAATTAATGTTACGGCTCGCGTCTCGATGCCAATTGTACCAATCAGAGATTAACTGCATCCTAATTGTGATTTTAATGTTGATTAGGGATTTAAGTTAGTCGTGCCTAATTGCATCGCTTTAATTTATTAGAACATTACATTAATTGAGAGGGTTTGGTTGGGTGAGCAAGATTAGGACCAATTAGGAAAATGGTTCGCATTCGAGTTTGGGTTTAATTGGGCCGGCTGAAACATTTGGGTCCAAAATAGGAAATGTTAACTTACTATGGTGAGTTAACATTTGGGTTATAATTGGGCCGCACAGTATCTTGAAGCACGACCGGAACAGAATGCCGCACGGCTCGTTCCTCGGCGGTCGAAAGACTCGGCGTGGGTGCATTTGCTAGCTCCGATTCGTCCTCCACTGCGCCTCGTCCACCTTTATCCTCCGGCAACGATGGCTTCGCTCGCTTCTCGTCCTTCTTGGACAGCCAATGGAGTCACGAGGGTTCTCGCGGCCGCTTACCGAGTTCGTTCGCCTCCGAATTCGTTCCTCGACGTGCCACACGGAAGACGTGCCGCAACTCCCGTCGCTCGGCCACGGCGGTTTCGGTTCAAGGGGCCGGGAGATTCCCTCTCCGCCCGGTGCTTCTCCGGTAAGGCCTCGTTCCTTCAATCGTCCCTTAGCCTGTTTGTTCAATTGATTAGCGTGTTGATAGATAATTTATTCTAACTCCAGGACAAATGTTGCCAGCCATCACTTCCAATCTTTTGTTGATCTTGGAGATCGTCTGTTGAATTACCTATTTGATTTTGCTTCGGCGTTGAGTTCCGATATGAAATCGACGACCGATAAGGTTGTTCAATCGCACAAAGTGGCGCTTTTCATGAAAGGAGCCAAAGATTTCCCCCAATGTGGCTTCTCCAGCACCGTGGTGCAGATATTGAAGTCGCTGAATGAACCCTTGGAGACTCCGAACGTACCCGAGAACGAAATGCTGCGTCAGGGGATGAAGGAGTACCCGAGCTGGCCTACTTTTCTGCAACTCTACGTGGAAATGCTGCATCGATAGTTTTCACATAAAGGTTGTGTTTTAGTTTCATGCATGGTGACCAGTAGAAGTACTCCTAACAGGAACATTAGCTGGGATTTGAAGATGCCTCATCAATACATCAAGTTACTGATACAAGAGAGTTTGGCGTGCGCAGCTGTGGATCCAGAGAAGGGAAGGGTTATCTACTTGGAGCATTATAAAGTGGCATTGCATCCCCACAAGCGCGGTAATGGTGGCATTTATCTCTTCTTCTATTTCTGAGTATTAATTAGGGCCATTTGGACCACCTCAATCCTTTAATGTCAAAGCATCCTTACCAAACACACTGGCCCAGGTGTTTGATTCCAAGGGTAGGTTAATTGTAGGGCTGGGCTGGGTTTTGATCTCACCACTATAATTTAAATGGATAAATCTGAGTTAAAATAATCCATTATTAGTGATGGATTAAGAAACCCTCTGTTGTTTATTAGGGAACCCAAGCCCTAATTTAAGCCCTACAATTGATTTAAGAATTGGGGATGTGTCTCAGCCCTAATTCCTAATTGGTCCTTGAGGCTTCTTGGCATCAGTGCATCATTTGAATTTAATTTAGTCTTGAAATTTATGCCAATGCTTTAATACAGCTCTTGTACTTACATGACATAACCTGCTTGCTATACATGTGTTTGTACTTGACATAATTCATGACAATACATTTGCTCTCTCTGACACTGTGACCCCATGTACTTGTACTACATTCCATAGGGTGTGCAGATACCAATATTGTGAGGGTTTTATATGTTAAACATCCCTAATTCTAAAATAGCCATTTTAAGTCTTTGATTTCCATTGCTGCATATGATTTTTGGTCATCACCTTTGGTCATTTCTTTTCCATTATTTTGTTTTATTTTCCTTCTTCTTCCACCCATCTTGACTTCTATTATATACAGATTGGGTCACCAAGCAAGCAAAAATATGTTACCCACATTAGCAATCTCACCATGCATAAGAAAACATTCTAACCTTCGTCAGATGGAAATCCCAAGTAAAAAAGTAGGCCTACTTGAAGATCTACTTTGTTGTCTTTTATGCTATCGGCTTTTGCCATCTGATATATATCTGACAGATCACTAACCCTAAACTTTACTTCTGCCAAAGTGAATGAGGCATTTGGTCACCTGAATGCTGGTAAGTTTGGTTAACTACATTTACAGTTAAACTGTGGATCGGCAAGAGATGTCACAAAACCCACAGAAAAGCCACATTCGGGACTGGGTTGAACCCCCTCTTTCAACGTCGGTCACCGGGAGGTTAGTGGCAATCACTGTCTGCTTTTCTAGGTTGGACATTGAAAGATGGGGCCTCTGTGAAGTCCCAACCATCCTTCCTCTGAGCTGTTAGGGTGCCATGCTTCTGCGCAGAAGCCAACTCCTCTCAGGGAGGCCATGCATGTGACAGTAATAACACGCCATTAATGGCTAACGCAAGACTCCGCTACTTCCCAACCAACAAATCCCTTCTCGCATCAGACTGCTTTCCTTTTCCTCTCTGGTCTCGTGGGTTGGTGGCTCCAAGTTAATGCGTGGGGGGCTGCGGGTGGCTTGGCCCGCTGCGGCCGAAGGGCGAAGCGGACGGATGATACGTGTGCCACTGGAGGTCGACCTCCAGTGGTGACAACCAAGAATTCTGATGCTGACATCCATGCTTTCAAACGCTGGTGAGAAAACGGAGAGCAGCCGCACCTGCCTTTCCGTGACAGCCACCTCCACGTCCGTCCTTTTTGTTGTTGGCACCAGCAGTTGGTGACTTGCGTACATGAAACCGGGGACAGTGGAGCAAGTGGCTTCTCGCACAGTGTGCCCTACCGATCCCCCATTTATATCCCCCTCCCGCCTGTCGCCGGGTGATCCATCAGGTAAACTCCTCGATTCCAAGACCACCGGCGATGGGTTCTCTCAGGTTCAAGACCATCGACAAGTGTAGCTCCGATGGAAGGCTGGAGCAGACTGTGGCGGCGGATCTCGACGGCACACTTCTCATATCTGGCAGCGCCTTCCCTTACTACATGCTCATGGCCATCGAAGCCGGCAGCCTCCTGAGGGGACTCCTCCTCCTGTTGTCGGTGCCGGTGGTGTACGTCGTCTACGTGTTCTTCTCGGAGTCGCTGGCCATACAAATTCTGGTGTTCATCTCCTTCGCGAGGATAAAGGTGAGGGACATCGAGATGGTGGCGCGCTCCGTGTTGCCGAGGTTCTACGCGGAGGACGTCCACCCCGAGACGTGGAGGGTGTTCAGCTCCTTCGGCAGGAGGTACGTGGTGACGGCCAACCCCACGGTCATGGTGGAGCCCTTCGTGAAGAGCTTCCTCGGCGCCGACAAGGTGCTGGGGACGGAGCTGGAGGTGACCAAGTCGGGGCGAGCCACCGGGTTCATCAAGAAGCCCGGAGTGCTCGTCGGGGCCCTAAAGAAGAAGGCCGTCGAGATGGAGTTCGGGGCGACCTCGCCTGACGTGGGCATTGGCGACAGGGAGACCGATCACGACTTCATGTCCATTTGCAAGGTTGGATCCCGAACTCACTCCTCGAGCTTCTTAATTGTTGGGGTTTGTGATCATTCTGGGCATAGATTATGAAGCTAGATTTAGGTAATTGGACTGAACTGAGGCTCTTCTTGCAGCATGAACGCATGATTTCTTTACAGATAATTATTCTTTGCATAATTAGAAATGTTATTAACTAATTAATTGTTCAACAGTGTATTACATGTTTCTTTTTATCTTATATATATATATATATATATATATATATATATATATATATATATATATATATATATATCATCATCATAATTCTTGAGATATATTTATTACTGAACGAGAACCACATGGCAAGAGTCGTGAATGATTCGAGCGAGGCAATAAATTGGCATTCAAAAGTAGGTCAGGAATGATTCAAGAAATAAATTGATCCCTCACATCCGTATTATAATTAGCTGTATTGACTCGATCCATTAGTATCCGACAAGGCTTCTGTGCTCTGATGGATTTGGTTGCAGGAAGCATACATGGCGCCGCACACCAAATGCACTCCGGTGCCGAAGATGCAGCTCCTGAACCGGGTGGTCCTCCACGACGGTCGCCTGGTGCAGCGGCCGACGCCCCTGGTGGCGCTGCTCACCTACCTGTGGATACCCTTGGGCTTCGCCCTGTCGCTCCTCCGGGTGTACATCAACCTCCCCCTCCCCGAGCGCATCGTGTTCCACAACTACCGGATCATGGGCATCCGCCTGGTGGTGAAGGGCACGCCGCCGCCACCGCCCAAGAAGGGCCACCCGGGCGTGCTCTTCGTGTGCAACCACCGCACGGTGCTGGACCCCATCGTCACCGCCGTCGCCCTCCGCCGCAAGATCAGCTGCGTCACCTACAGCATCAGCAGGTTCTCGGAGCTCATCTCCCCCATCAAGGCCGTGGCGCTGTCGCGGGAGAGGGACAAGGACGCGGAGCACATCAAGCGCCTGCTGGAGGAAGGCGACCTGGTGATCTGCCCCGAGGGGACGACGTGCAGGGAGCCGTTCCTGCTGAGGTTTAGCGCCCTGTTCGCGGAGCTCACCGACCGGATCGTGCCGGTGGCCATCAACACGACGCAGAGCATGTTCCACGGCACGAGCGCCAGGGGGTGGAAGCTCTTCGACCCCTACTTCTTCTTCATGAACCCCCGGCCCACCTACGAGATCACCTTCCTGAACCAGCTACCCAAGGAGCTCACCTGCGCCGGCGGCAAGTCCCCCATCGAGGTCGCCAACTACATACAGCGCGTGCTCGCCAGCACGCTGGGATTCGAGTGCACCAACTTCACAAGGAAGGACAAGTACGGCCTGCTCGCCGGCACCGATGGCCGAGTCCGCCCCAGGAAGGAGGAGGAGGAGGAGGACAAAGAGAAGGAGAAGGCGTAGCAGCAGCACACGCCATTCCCAACACAAACAACAGATTGTTCTGCTGGGCGTTCTCTAAGACGTGATTGCATTGGGTTGACTTGGTACAGAACTCATCAACCGCCACTGGCGCATGACACCTAGGATTTATATTTATCTGCAATCAATCTCAATCTCCTGTCTCTTAAGTTAGTCTTCCTTGCAGTGGAGGGAGGTTGGGTCTTGTCCATTATTGTTGAGGTGAGGAAGTCTTATGTTTCTATATGACGTTTCTGGAATCAGTAGTAAGCTTTTCTTTTTCCAAGAGCAAAAGAAATATCAAGTCAGAGCCAATCCAAAATCCATTCTCTACCTATTCTTGTTCATGTAATTGCAGTAAGGACGACCTAAAAGATCTAACAAATAAACATAAGAGTTAGATTTGAAAGAATCTAAGCATGGAAGTTCAAAGAAATCGAGAAGAAGTGGTGTGATAAAAGGAAGCGCATAATTCTCATAAGTAACATCTTCTAAAAAAACACATCCATCAAGTAACAAAATCATAGCAATGACCATGGAAATCATATACAGAGCTTGGAACAAAACTCCATAGAGCTTGGAAACCATATAAAGAGCTTGCAGTGTTCCAAGGAGATAAAAGAACAAAGCAAGTCATTCAAAAATGAAGAATAGAAAGAGAGACAATTTATAAGCATCCAGAAGCCTCGATAGTCTCGATCAAAAGCAAGGAGCAAGAGAGTTAACTGTCCATCTTCTCGTTAACACTTGGTAGACAACAAAGGATCTGTTCCCTTGAAAGGAATACTTTCGAAAAACTTGAGAGCAGATATTCATCCACAAAATCAGAATAAAAAGCCTACATGTACCTAAAAGAATGATGATCAAAGCCCAAAAAATCTTTCACACAATTTGCAACCCGACATATATGACTATACCCAAGTAATATGGAAGGTTAGAGGCAGTGAGGGAAAGGTTTGGCGATACTATCCATGGCTTCGGAGCCTATAAGTAAATTGTTACATTAATCAACAAATAGATGCAGAATGATACATACAACTCAAACTATTCTAAACATTGCTGCAACCAGAACAGAGCTGTCTAGTCTTCTCCTTTAACATGTTATCATGCAGATTGTCATTTCTTCTTCTAAAACTACCACACTATTTCTTTTGGACCGTAAGCATTTCTCGCCATATGCCATCTGCAGTCTCATTTCTTCTTTGAAATGTTTATTTGACAATAGGCATATTAAGTGCCAACAAAAATAGGATTAATGGTGTGAAGGGACCTTGAGGAAGACCTGAGAAAACTTTATAAGAAACAACAAAAGGATAATTGAATACTCTTATTTGGACAAGTGATATTGCTTTTAAATTTCAATGGCAAGAAAGATACTAGTCAACCAACGACAACATTGGCTTGTCAAGAACCTAACAACTATGGTTGATCTCCTTGACATCAAACTACATTTTTAGGTATACGTATCTTATATTGTAATCTTTGTCCAATCATACACTAAAAACATCATTATATGGCTCAAAAATTTGATAAAAACAGTTGCCAAACTTAAAATAACTCTTTCAATCCCTTAATTAAGTAAAAGGGTTTTAATTTCATATGGCACCTTTGGTTCCAATATGTAGACTAACAATCTTCTTAAAGGTGATCATGGTGTTCTGGTAGCCGAAGTGTCTCACATAGCAAACTGGAGGTGTACAGAGAAATGTGCTAGAGTCCATTTATGTGATAACAAATTTAATATATATAAACCCTCTATTTTATAACACAACCATATGGGCGTGCATGGGTTCTACGACCTCAAAAGTACATGGCCACCCACCGGATACACAAAAAGACAACCACATCTGTATATATTGGCTCCATTAGCAACCTCATGAATGACAGGTCACAACACTGCTCAATAAATCTAATAAGACACATCTGTTAGTCATAAACACGTCCATGCCTTAGATTTGAAACCCTTACGATTACACAATTCTGTGAGAGCCTTCTCCTCAGCCCACTCTATCAAACTTTATCTGACATGCTTCAGAAAGAAGTATATTTACTTTCTATGGATACTTCAGATTATCAGACCTCAAAGTAGCATGATCTGAAGTCAAAATCTACCATAAGGTTGAATTATCTTCACTTGTACAATTTTTATTGACTGCCAACAAATAGTTGACATTTGCTGACTTACACCAGAACATATATAATCAAAACTTGACAAAAAAAAAATAAAGACACAAGAAAATAAAAGTCAATTCAATGTCAAGATATATATGACAGAAGAACAGTGGAAAAGCTAATATTATGAAAGAAAATGACAAACAAAAAAAAATAACCTCTTCATGACAAGAGATCCAACAACAACAATACAATAACAATGACTGATATATATATTAGACAAGCACAGTATCATAATCTCCATTCTACTAAAAGCATGAGAACTTCACAATAACACACCTTAGTCCGTTGATCACTGAGATGGACTGCAAAGACAACAAATACACGATAGTCAGAGATATGAAACCAACAGCCCTGAAAGCGGCATCATTTATTCATCTTTGCCTCTTTCAACTCCAAGTCCTGTCTGTTAAACAGAAAGCAGCTATTAATAGTCTGCACGATAGTCACTGTAATCATCTCTTGCACAGACATCGCTCTCCACCCTTTCAGCGATCTTCTCCTCCTCATATTTCAGTCCTTCCTCAAGCGCCAACCCTCCTAACGCTCCAGCCACCGCCCCAACCGCCAAGCCTGTAGCCGCTCCCATTCTGCCCCCTTTTGGCTTATGATCATAAGCAGAATAGCCTGATGAGTAGCCCGTAGGCGCTGATGGCCCCCCGTAGCCGGACGTCTGGTCATAGTATGTATGGGTCTGGGCAGGGGCAGGGGCAGGGACCGGAGCCGGAGCCGTAGGTGCTGAGTAGTAGGGAGCAGGGGAATAGTATCCAGAAGTGTAGGGATCAGAGTAGCTCCCGTAGTGGTACTGCGAGGAATGGGGCTGGGGCTGGGGCCGAGGCGGCACAGGGTGGCCGTAAGGAGGAATAGGAGGGGACGGGGGAGTAAAGGTGCGGTAATCTCTAGCCGAGTGAGGAGGAGGGGGGGAAGGAGAAGGGAAGGGGGGAGCGTTGGAGGAGTAATAATAGCTGGAAGAGGGAGGGGGAGGGGGGAAGTGGTGATGGGGATGGGGATGGAGGTCGGGCGGAGGGCAGGGCCGCTCTCGGATGGCGAGCTTGATGCGGATCTTGCCCTGGGGACGGCCGGAAGGGCGGCGGAGCTCGAGGGTTCGGATGGGAGAGGGCGAGCCGTCGACGCCGCCGCCGACTGTGAAGGCGTCGGGGTCGAGGAGGTCCTTGACGGGGGATCGGGCGGTGCCGACAAGGGGCTTGGGGGTCTCGGAGGGCTTGGAATGGAAGACGTCGAGGGTGAGGAAAAGAAGGGTTTCGGAGGAGGGGAGGGGAAGGGGAAGCGCGAGGCGCTCGTTCCAGACGGGGCGAATGGAGCCGGCGTCGTCGGGCTTGGTGGCGACGCGGCAGTCGGGATCGAGGTAGGCGACAACGTAGGGCTTGAGGTCGCCGTTTCGCCAATTGACGTTCTTGAGGTGCTTCGCGGAGACGACGGTGACCTCGAGGTCCAGGGGCCTCGGCGATGGCGATGGAGGAGGAGGGCGCTGCGGGGAGTCCATGGATTCCGATTGGGTTGACCACCTGCGATGGATTGGGCGTGCGGAGATGATCGATGATACCCACCAACAGGGGAGGCGTTTGGGGGCGGAAATCAGTGGACGCGCACAAAGCCAATCAAGGTGGTTCCGTGACGCTGACCCGTGCTTTCTTTTTCATTATTATTATTTTTTCTTTTTTTATTATATTCAGCATGTTTTTTCATTATTATTATATATATATATATAATATAATTTGTATTTTAAGTAATTATCATTTATTAAAATCACCTACTCCTAACGTAATTTCGACTAAATTAGTTTTGACCAGCTAATTTTGTTGGTAATTTGTTTTGACTACTTATAATTAGAAAATTCGGGAGAAACAAGCCAACTAATTACATATTCATCTTAGTATTTCGATCTCTAGATTTAAAAATTTTATATTAAAATTTTTATAATTATAAAATTAAAATATTTAACCCTATTAACTCTAACGTTATCGATTTTACCAACGGAAGATATAATACGTGATAGTTTATACAGGAATGATACGAAAATGATAGGTAAAATTATAATTTTAGCATCTCGGATGAGGTATCTATATCGATATCGCTCTGTAACTACATTGATAAGAGGTGAGGTAAAGGCCATACATCTTATTGACTTAAATGCAGAACGACAGATGCCAACACAAATGTCTCACCTTTCGTCGACGTGAATGTAAAGTAATGTCGGAAGAGAAAAATGAGGGAGAGTGATGACGAAATGTAAGACAAAGGGAGATGAGAAAGTAGACGAGGATGATGGCCACGCTAAGTGATGTTTGACAAATTTTGGTTAAAAAATCCAAAGAGTTTGATAATAGAACCTTTCGCACCTCTTATTTTTTTTACCATAAAATAATATAATCTTATACTAATACAAAATAAAGATAATAAAACCATAAAATTATACTAATATCATAGTATGTAAAAACATGGTATTCACAACAAAATAAATAATATTACATAATATAATTAACCAATAATATAATATAGATATGTACATAGTTTACATGTATATATAAAAATAAATAATATGGAGCATTAAAAATAGATCACAACAAAAGTAATCAAAATAATAGGGCAATCCAATACCGCTGGTAACAATATTCAGCATCACAATGACTCATTCAATCCCTATTCTTTGGTTTTGAGAGTTTTATCCAGTGTTTATGATAGTTTTCAGACTATTTCACTACTTGAGAGCTCTCTCGAGAGGGGAAGGATTCTCTTCCACATTTCCCATTATAGCTAAAGCTCCCGCTTTACTCGAAAGCCTTTGAAGGGGTGCAAAATTAAATCTCTCCAAGATTCACTTGAATTAATCTATTTTGTTAGGGGAATTATTAGCATTTCTTGGTTTCTTAAGAATATTTTGGATGACATCTTCCTCCTTTAATTATGTCATTATGTTGTCAATGTGGTCCATGTTTCTTGGATCACAAATGGAATGGTTCATCAATTTGTCGATTTTGATCGAACTATAAATTCTCTTTTTTTTTTTTTTTCTTCTAAAAATACAATATAGTTTAGTTTATAAACTTTCATAAAAAAAACAATACTTGATAGTAAATAATATAAAATCAACATAAAATATTACAAATAAAAAAGGAGTGTGATTAATAATGTATTATGTGTATAACACTTATATATTATAATATACGGTAAAAAATTAATGGCGAGAAGATCATCCCACAAATAAGTAAAAGTATCTTTTTAAGTTAATAAATTAACATAATTATTTATTTGATATCAAATTTAATTTTGATTTTAATATGGTAAAATATTCCATGTCAATAAAGTAATAACATATGAATATTAATTAGTGAGATATCACGAAGGTAGGCCAACTCATCTGCCATTTTAACGTGAGGGTCTAATATAATAAATCTTTCATGTTAAACTAAGGATGGATTTTTAGAAAAAAGTTTTTAAGTTTGAAAAAATTTTATAGAGCACATCAACTTTAAAATTTCTCAAAGAATATTCTTGATCATATAAAAAGTTTATTTTATCCTTGTCTTCGTTGTACCCACTATTGTCTCTTTTTTTCTATACTGTCTTTGTCATTATTTGTGTATCCTTATCAGACTAAGGTACTTTATAAACACAAGCATGGGCGTAGCCCTAATCATCCTCGTGATATCTAAAAGTATCGTGCACATGGAGGGGAGTGATCGACGAGATTAGCTCATGCATAAAGGCACAAGCATAGCCAACGAGACTAATCCGCACACAAAGGCACAGGTGTGGCTAACGCAACCAACCCACGCATAAAGTGTAGCGATCAATGAGAACCAAAATACATGCAAAGGCTACCAGTGGGCGAGCTCGTGCGTGTGCAAAAGCGTAAGCGACTATGGGAGGAGGGTATAATTGATGAGGCTAACATATACATGAAGGCAAGTGATCAGAGGAGGACAATCGACGAAGCAAAGGAAGGCAAAAGGCGGTGATCAATAAGGGTAAAATAGTTATTTAAAAAATAATATTATCTAAAAATTTTTCGAAGTTAAAATTTTCAAACTTGCAGATTTTTTTTTAATGAATGCATCCTAAACTAAAATATGCAAAAGAAACTCTCTCTCCATATATGACATAAAATTTTAATCAAATAATATATTTTTTCATATCGGATCATCCTAACCTGTGCTAAATGGGTATCAACACTAGTCATTCAACAACCCACAACTTAAATAAACATACATCAGAAATCTTGGCATCGAATTCAAGCGTCAACGGTGATGTCTATTTCCAAAAAAGAATCAGACCGGATCATACTCGACCTTTGACATTATAATATCTCATAAGTCACGAGTAAAGAACTATAATCCAATTGTGGAATCCATCAACCAAACATGATAGGATAATTAATCATAATATTTCTCTACTTGGAATCTGATTCCTCAAACACTAGTTGTATCAGAACTCGTTGATGAAGGAATATCATATATAAAGTGCGTTGAGATTGTTGACCAATTCTTGATGTGCGTGTGAGATTTTCAATTTTGATACCGATTATATTGTATACTAAAATTAACAAAATTATTCTTTTTATTTTTCTTTTTAATCTCAGTCGTTGATTTGCTTTAAATAAAGTAAACAGATCAAATCGCTGAATTGATATGATTAGAGTGCAAATTCCAATATCCGTTGGATGTCACATCAGCCACCAAAAATGCTTCTTCCATGTATTTGGACGCGCCTCTGTAATGGATGGCTCCATCACTGGTCCTTCCTCGTGCTCTACTACCGGGCGTAGGGCAGCCATTACCTCCACCTTCCGAGCACGCGTGCCGGTGCTCCGCAAGTGACAACGCGTCCCACTGCCTGCGTGCCGTTCCACATTCTGACACCCATCCGAGGCCAAGTGTTTCTTCCATCCACAGAGACGGAGATTTCTTAGGGAGATTGCTGCAGCAGGCCGAGCGTTTCTTCCATCCAATACTTCTTCCTCCTCCTCCTCGGGGTGACTCTTCGAGCTGGCTAGCTGTCCCATGTGTAGGTAGAAAAAGGAATGATTCTTCTCTCTCTTCTGCTATGCCTTGAATCCATACCTTCCTATAAAAACCGCTCAATTTGATGGAGTTCGAGTTGTTTGGTGTCAGCTTGAAATGGAATGTGAGTTGTTGCTTCCAGTAAATGGAGAAATTTGGCGGAGATAAAAGGCTGGTGTACAGCTCATACTTTCCGGACCTCCGCCTCCTCCTCTACTCTGCTCTCTACAAAATCAATCGCCCCTGCCCTCATCATCTCCTCTCTACTGTAGATCGCGGAGAATCGATTGACGGTGTGACAGAAGACTCCTCTCTCTGTCTCACTCCTCTTCTTCTGGTTCAGATCACCAGGCTTGATCTCACCTGGTAAGTCATCGATCGAAGCCTTTTGAGTTCCTCTGTTATCGTTTCACTTTGATGTCGAAGATTTGGTAGATTTCTGTATGCTGATTTACTTGGAGATTGATCGATAACGCTGATCCTGATTCCCAAATATCGTTAGTGAGATTTGAATTTGAATTTGAATTCATCATCATTATTCATGACAGTGCTCATCTCGCAATCCGCGTCTAAGATAAAGCATCACTGTAGGGGAGAGTGATATCGAGATGATTTGACTCACTTCAAAGCACTACTTGCATTCGGCCAATGTTTTCATTTTATTTTGGCTATCGAGACAGACATCCATGAAAAGCACAAATTTTGGTAGCTTGTGCTGTAGTATTTACTCAGAACCAGTCACTCTGGTGATTGTCCTCTTGCTTGTTCACTCAAGTAACTGCTGCTTTTGCTACTTGTTTCTTTTGCCTTGGCATGCTGCCTCAATCCTTGTCATTGCCAGTATTGCAAGTAGTGCATCATTCAATGAATCCATCCGTGGGACTTTCTAAACTTTTTCTCCTTCCTTGTTCCTTGCATTAGACTATTACATCAAATCTAAGATTGTTGATAAAAAGAGGTAGTAGGATCACAAATCTTTTCTAATCAGATAATTATTTATTTCTGTATTTATGATAGATCAATGATTCTACAACTCATTTTGTAAATAAAATTTATGATTATTACTGTTTTTTCCTTTTTCATAAATGTGTTTCCCTATTTGTCTTGATAATAATGTGGCAATCATAGTAAACATAAAATTAAGATTGTTGCCAGTTGCAACTCTTTCCTCTATTTAGTTGCCACTTCTAATCCTTCATTTCTTATATTTGTCTATTTGTACACATGGTCTACATATATGAAAAGACTAATAAATACATTCTTGCTAAGTTTTATACACTTATGTTGTTCATGGGATTCCGCATGCTTGCGGATGTAGACGGCAATTATTTTCATTTGTTAAACACACTTTGTCATAATACAGAGATGAACCATATTCTGGCTTGAATAAATAGCAAAAAGAAATAAGAAGTAGGATCTCAATCCCACTGCAGGATCATATTTTTTATAGCAACTATTCAATTAGTAATACAGTGAAATTACTGTATTTATGCATGAGGTGGCTTTGTTTGAATTTATTTATCCCCTTAGATTATAGTATACCACTGTACTATAAGTGTGCAGTGAGATTGAACAGGGTAAGCCTATTGTTGTTCCTTCCTGATATGAAAGGATTCGATAAATTTATAGATAAGATTATGTACAACCACTCTCCTATGTTATTGGGATTCTTATGGACTGAGTATTATAGTGTACTACTAAAAGTGAAATAATTAACCATTCAAGGTATTACAGTTAACTTAACATGTCATTTTGGTTGTCTATGTCAGAATTTTTTATTACCATGTAACTTGCAAAATCCATTTTCTAAGTTTGGATAGCTGTTTGTGTCTCCGTGAACAAATCTATAGCTTTGTTCTTCAGTCGCCTTTCTGATTTCAGAGACAATTTATGGTGTCGTTGGTGAAGTTCAAATATATCAAGTGCAGCTATGGTTTCTTCAGAAAAAGATATTGCATCTATATATCTACCAATTTAGCCAGATTAATCATAACCGGCAAGCATTTATCTATACTGCCTAGTCACTTAGGTTGTAATGACCTATGATTTTTTTCCCTTGTCATAATGCAAATTACCAAAATTAATGTTTTACTTTGATTGAATTATTTATTTATTTTGTTTGTATAGCATAATTAAAATGAGTCTCCTTCATCGTGTGGACCAACTATAATTAAATCAATTAAATAATTAAATAATTATTAATTGATTTATTTCTTAATGAGTGATATGATTTTTAGAAAATAATTATTTAGAACTTTATTTTTGTGTGAACCATAACAAATAAATATATTAATTTTATTTTGTATATAAAAATAAAATAAAAAGAAAATATTATTTAGGTTCATCTTCTCCTATATAAAGGGGGCTTCACTTTCCTCGTTTTTTAGTGAGTTTGATAGAAGGATTTAGGAGAATATCTCAAAGATCGCTGAGGAGAGGTAATATTCTCTATTCTTTTATTAACAATTCTGTTAATTTACTTCAATATTGTGTTAGGGATTTTACTTATACTGTAGTGGCATAATATTCTAATTAATAATATACACTCGAGATCTTGAAGATCTCTTATTGGTCTGACAATAACTTAGCTTGCTTTGAATTTATCAGTCAAATGAGATTTGCCATCAGTTTTATATGTTTTGAACACTGTTTATGGCACACAGGAATATGTCAGTATGTGATAAACCATTTAGTTTAAAACTGCATGTGCTTTACATTTGTTCTTGGTGATCATATGGTAAAGCAGATTCGTTCTTCTCTAATGTGTTTTGGTATTTGGTTGTGCACCGATAAGTTGATTTTATATTCTTTTCATATGAAACAATGTTCTCAATTATTGTGCCATTTATTCGACTATTGTCTTCGATGACGCTGAAGCGTGGATCAAATGTCAGATTCCGAGTACCTCTAAGGACTGTCAGACAACCATGGAGGCCACCGATAAGAGGTACACTGAAGACGGGACAACAGATGTCCATGGTAGGCCAGCTGTGAGGAAGAACACTGGGAATTGGAGAGCTTGCCCCTATATTCTTGGTATCATCCTCAGGTCACCTAATTGACATACAGTAGAATGGAAATTTATGCTGTGTTGTAATCTAACCATCATATTTTTGCATCTCATCGCAGCAAATGAATGCTGTGAAAGGTTAGCATACTATGGGATGAGCACGAATTTAGTGAACTATATGAAAGATCGTCTCAACCAAGGGAATGCAAAAGCAGCAAATAATGTCACTAACTGGTCAGGCACATGCTATATTACGCCACTTCTCGGGGCTTTCATCGCCGATGCTTACTTGGGAAGATATCGGACAATTGCTAGTTTCATGATAGTTTACATCATTGTAAGACCAGCATTATCCTTTCTAGATTTGATCTTTGGAGATTCCTAAACGACTTTGATCTCGTTTACAGGGTTTGATATTGTTAACAATGACAGCGTCTGTCGAGGGTCTGAAGGCTCCTTGTAACCACGGCGTCTGTGATCCAACAACAGCACAGACAGCAGTGGTCTTTGTGGCTCTTTATCTCATTGCTCTGGGAACCGGAGGAATAAAGCCTTGTGTCTCTTCTTTCGGTGCTGACCAGTTTGATGAATCGGATGAATCAGAGAAAAAGAGGAAGAGCTCCTTCTTCAACTGGTTCTATTTCTCCATCAACATTGGGGCTTTAATTGCTTCTTCTGTGCTGGTGTGGATACAGAATAATGTAGGATGGGGTTGGGGCTTTGGAATACCAGCAGTGGTGATGTCTATCGCAGTTGTGAGCTTCTTCCTGGGAACCCCATTGTATAGACACCAGAAACCCGGAGGGAGTCCTATAACACGAGTTGCGCAGGTTATTGTGGCATCATTGAGGAAGTCCGGAATGGACGTACCAGACGACAAGTCTCTTCTATATGAGGTGGCAGACAAGGAGTCTGTCATACAAGGTAGCCGAAAGCTTGGACACACTGACGAATTCAAGTAAGTTCATTAGAACTCTTCGTATTAATACTCTGCTTTAGATTTCTTTAACCTTCATGTGCTCGTATCTTACTGTGCTTTTCCGTGATTCCTTCTTGCATATATTCTGTAGTATATGTTTTCTGTCTCTTCGTTAGAGGGATAGAAAAACAGAGTGGATTTGTAAGCTCCTGAGATGATATATCCGAAGGGGTTTATCGTATGTTCAATGTTGACAAGCTCGGAATATGATTCGTGCTACTCTTGAGTTCCTTTCAGGTTCCTTGACAAGGCTGCAATTGTCACTCAGGAGGACAAGAACCCTGTGAGCCCCTGGAAGCTTTGCACCGTCACCCAAGTAGAGGAGCTCAAGAGCGTCGTGAGGCTTCTTCCAATATGGGCGACCGGCATCGTCTTCTCCACAGTCTATGGCCAGATGGGAACCATGTTTGTACTGCAAGGCAACACCCTCGATCCTTACATGGGTCCTCACTTCAAGATTCCTGCGGCTTCGCTCTCCATATTCGACACCATCAGTGTGATCGTCTGGGTCCCCATCTACGACCGCATCATCGTCCCGTTGGCTCGGAGGTCCACCGGCCGCGAGCGCGGCTTCACGCAGCTGACCCGCATGGGCATTGGCCTCGTCATCTCCATCTTCTCCATGGTGGCTGCTGGAATTCTGGAGGTCGTGAGGCTCCGCATCGTGGCAAATCACAACATGTATGACTCCCAAGCCTACCTGCCCATCTCCATCTTCTGGCAGATCCCTCAGTACTTCATTGTGGGAGCAGCTGAGGTCTTCACCTTCATCGGGCAACTGGAGTTCTTCTACGACCAGGCACCGGACGCCATGAGGAGCTTGTGCTCTGCGCTGTCCCTCACCACCGTGGCACTCGGCAATTACCTGAGCACCGTGCTCGTCACGGTAGTCACAGGCATCACAACGAGGAACGGGAAGCTGGGTTGGATTCCGGATAACCTCAACCGAGGGCACCTCGATTATTTCTTCTGGCTCCTGGCAGTTCTAAGCTTGGTTAACTTCGTGGCATACCTTCTCATTGCGAAGTGGTACACCTACAAGAAGACAACAGATGAGGAGTTTGATTATGGCAGTTCTTCGGAGTTGGGTACGCAAGGTTGAAGATGCTAAGCTAGCTTTGAGTCCTTTGTTTGATTCAGATCGTGCTTATAATTTAGCCTTCTTGCAGACGGCTAATAGAATTGCAGCAAGTGGAAGTCGTTCTTTTCTCATGATGTAGATGAGATACTCTTAGTGGTCGTTTGCTAAGATAATTGATGTGCATGACTTTGACACTCGTTAACTTTGCCTCGAGTCACTAAATGTTCTTAGTATATACATATCGCTTACAGGAACATGATCACATAGAAAGTGTTTATTTGAACCAAAAAGAAAGGAGGGAGAAAAAGAAAGAGGTGTGTATCTAAAGAAAGCCATGATCACAGGAGCAGCTTGGTTCAGTGGCTGCTCTTTTCTTCTTTAGCAGAAGGGAAATAGCACAGTGGTTTTGAGGTGAAAAGAGAGTTGATTGTTTCTTTCAATTCTTTATCCTTCACCAACTGGGAATGCTCCCTTTGCTTTTTTGCTAGCTTTGGCAGCAGGAATATATGTAGCTCATCAGGCATGCCACTTGCCTGTCACAGAGAAAAAGCATCAAAAGCAGGGTTACTCATTGCTCATTTTCCCAGCCCAAGTGCCTTTGGATGATTTCCATGCAACCCAATCAAGCTTTATCAGCAGCCTCTCAGGCCATGGGGGCCCTTTCCTTTGTGAACTCCAAGGAGGAGCAGCATCACCACTGAGCCATGCAGGTCCTCCAGCAACCAGCAGTGCCCCCAGGCTAAAGATCTCATTGGAATATTGTGAATCCCCAAGAAGGTTTGGCCTAGGAGCTGTCCCTCTCTTGAGGGTGAGCTCTGCCATGCTTTGTTCCCTCAAAGCAACATGCAAAGGATGCACTGGTGCAGGTGAGAAAGCTCACTTGTAGGATCAACAACAGCCTGAGGTATCTGTCTATCACATGGTGTGGTGTTCATGAGCTTATCTTTCCCTTCCTCTCTCTCTCTCTCTCTCTCTCTCTCTCTCTGCATGTCGAGTTGTGTCCTACCAGCTTGCGCTGTCTGCCTTTTGCGTTGCTTGACCTGCAAAAGCTTTGCAAAAATGTCAAAATTAGCAGCCTCATTAACACATGTTCGTGGTAAATCCCGAGGATCTTTTCGATTTGTTCCAATGTGTGATGCCAATTGTAGTATTCTTCACTCGATCATTCAGCATCTTACCAACACATACACACCCACATCCATTCTCAATGGATAATACATGTGCTACAGTAATCCAGCAACAATACCACAAAAGAGAAGAGCACAAAAATAGCAGAAACAATAAAGAAATGGATCCAAAGGTACACTCCCAACAACACGTCAATCGGCTTCCATATGAGAACAAAACCCAACCCACTGCTAATGCAAACAGGCCTTCTCCTCGAAGAAAAGCTTAAAGAAACAGGAAGAACTGACACTATTATACTGTCCACGAAAACCCCACAAGTCTCTCTCTGAGACAGCACCGTTCTTAATAATATGCATAAAGATACATGCAACGTGATGTACGACGAGCCTACGTTAAGTCTTCATTACCATCCCAAGCATCATCATCGCCATCATACTAGTTTAAGGACATTTGAATCGCCATGAATGTTTATGGAGTATATATATTCCAACCCAGACGTGTACGGATCCACCTTAATCCTGTCGCAGACCAGCCGTGCGTAGTCTTCTTCTACACAAGACTTACTTTGAGACGTATTTGATCTTCTCCTACACCTTTATACCTTAGTAGGGGGCTTGTTGTTTAAGCCTAACATACAGGAATAATCCTGATCTTGATTTGTTTCCGAAGCCAAAGTGAAGTCTAATGTGATTGCAAAATGTGAATATCCAACATTGGTTTGTGTAATTCAAATTCAATCAATCCTTAGGTCGAACAAAAGAAACTTAACGATAATGCCAGATTGTTTGCCATCAAATATTCTGCTTATGTTTAAGATGAGAAATAGATAGTTTTAAGTCTTAAGATAACAAAACACTTGTTTGATGCATTTTTATGTCCAAAAGAATTATATTATTATTATTATTATTATTACTGTATGATTTCAAGATAATAGAGGGATAGACAAGAAGATGTTTATTGCTTTGTATATTCATCGTAACATATCATTTTTTTAATGATTATAGCTAATAATAAGAATGTTT